TACAAAGCACTATCAACAATAATGTTAATTATACAATGCCACCCCTCTCCCACCACACATACACACTCCATTAGAGCCAACTTCCTCCTCTACACAGGGCTAGCATTAACTCATAACTCACAATGAAAGAGGTAAAGTCATACAAACAGCAAATGCTACATATCAATGCTTCGGCAGGGGGGTTGGACTAGATGACCCACAGAGGTCCCTTCCAACCCCTAACGTTCTGTGATATCATATTTAACATTGATTAGAGTTTCTAAGATGCCGCTTGGTGTTGAGCAACATTACTGCCTGACAAAAGCAGTGCTGTCAAAAAGAAAACTTGTGCCCTCTTAGTAGTAAGTAGAACTCGCAATTTTATCTCAAAGCCAGCAGCAAGACTAGTTATAAAAGTGCATTTGTAGCCCTGGTTCAGACAGTTGTGGACTGGGAAATGATGTGTGTTCACTAAAACATATATCCCGGAGAAAACCAAAACAGGTTTGTTGTGCTAGTGGAAGCACAAGAACCGAATTCTGCAGATGTTTGCCTCACCTCAGCCTAGGAAATAAGATCACTTTCATTAGCTTTGATGACTTCTTCTACTGTGCTTTAAGGGTTGTGAGAAAAGTAGGAACAGAAGCCCATAACTTTATTTTGATTATGGATTTTTATACCTATCAATATACACCTTTTCTATTGAGATCTCAACACACAATCCCGCTGTGCTTGGTTTGGTTTTTTTGGGTGGTCGATGGGTTGGTTTTTTTTGCTTAGTGAGTATGGATGTACTTTGCCTTTGTCAGAGAACACATTTTCAGTTTAGTTCTTACCATTTAGAAGGAAAATATCCACACAGAAAAAAATCCTATTACTGCTTTCTTCTTTCTCCTTTGCCTCTTACCCTTATTCTGCCATCCTGCCTCTTTTATTTCCTCTCATTATTGTACCATCTTCATTCGAACGCAATGCCATGGCCACCTGAGGGATCAAGAGCTACCCCGTGTTCATAGGAGAACCTTATTTTGTTGTTACAGACTCTGGTGCTCAGGTGTCATGGTGACTATTGCACTAGAAATACTAATCTGTGCAACAACCTTTAAGCAGAGAGAGAAAGTGTGCTGTAATGGCAGCACAGTTATGCCTTTCTCCTGAAAAATTTGCAGTCACAGACTAGAAATGTTGCTGTAAGGAAGCACAAATCTCTCTCTTGCCACAGGGCTTTCTAAAATGGTAAAATCAGGGATAGCAGAACAAGCATTTGATCAGTGTTCTGCAATGTAAAGTTCCTGTTTGTCAAATACTGAGACCCTGGCATAATGCCTCCTGGGTTGGGACTGTTCCTGAAATACCTGAAACATCCCACCGCTTCAGTGCTAAATGCTGTTGACTGCTTCTCTTTCCAGCCTGTCCAGCTGCAAATGCATGGGCTGTTACTCTCGTATCTGTTGGCTCTGATATAACCTTGTCCACTTTTGATGAAGGCAAAAATAAAGTACCCCTGCACAGTCACTCAAGATCAGCCCAGCTATTGCAAATGTCAGGTTCTGCCAGTGGGAAGCCAAGCAGTGTCAAACTGTATTTGAATCGTGGGTTCAAAAAAAAGCAGAAATACCTCTGATGAGAACTTACTTATTTTAGGTTATCTACTGGAAAATACTTACGTGATGCAAGGATGGGGTCACATTTGGGTAGGATATTAAGAATCTCTTCATTTTTTGTTCCAAGTGCATAACTTACTCTATAGAAGAAAGGTGTTCTTGGAAGATGTGGGAGTACCCACAGAGTCTTGGGCTACAACTCAAATTGCTCTACTTGACTATGGCTTGTCTCCATGGATTATAAAACTCAAAACATATGACAAAAATAGATACAACTGAAAGTAAATGAGGAGGAAGTAAATGTATTTGACCTGCTGGTATGCCAACTAAAAACTGACTTTGAAGCAGTGATGATATGGGAGATATGGGACAAGGTGATACAAAACAGACCTGAGTAGTTTGGTAAGATACCAGCTGACATTCCCCTGGTGACGTACGGCTTTTTAGAACATTTTCTATCTATAAACATAAAAAAGATGCTTAAACCCATAGCTTCATTTCCCCAGTGAAGTACAGAATACTAAATGACTTGCCAAGGAACAAATAGCAGGTTAATAGCAAAGCTATTGATCCAAGTCTTTCCTTGATTCCATCCATTGGATTACAGAACTGTTTCTCAGACTTTCCTTTTGGATCATTCTTTAGTTGGAACCTCTGCTCCTTCAAATATATTTCACCTTACAAATTGGCACAAAGTTATATGCAAAGATTGACATAAGCATAATCAAGACTAAAACTTGCACAACCATCAGTTTTGCATGGTGAATATACCATACAGATTTTCAACCTTATGCTATTATTAAAAACAAATTATTGCATACTAAACACATTTAGCATACTAAAATTGGATTATCAGTGAATTTTGTAAAAAATAAATCCCCGGCAATATGCAGGAAGTTTCCAGCTCTAGCATCCTAGGGGTAATATTTCATGAGCCAAGACAGCTGAAGTAGAAAGAATGCTGCACTAAGACGGAAGATGGGCTGCAACTCAAACTCCATGAGGCCAGTGGTAATGCTGTTATTGATGTTCTTGGGCTAGACTTTCAACTTTTGAAAAGGCTGGAAGAAGAGAGGCAAACAAGAGGGCGGAATGAGACAGCCCCAGCTGGGACTGATCCGGTCTGAATAGCTCAGCTTGGCATAGATACGGATATAAAACCTGTGCCAAGCTGAAACCTGGGGGAAATTTCTAGAACAGGAGAACTCCTTTACCTTAGACTGTACATGTGAATTGAGCAGATGAGGGCCCTTACTGTTGCCTTGAAAACTGCAGAGTTTGGAGGAAAAAGCTCTACAGCACCATAAGGGCAAAATCAGACAGCTTAGAGGTAAAATCACATTCCTCTCTTAGTACACATCACTAAAGCGAAAAGCAGGGGGCTACCCTTAATTAGGCAGATGTGAAAAAGCTAAACTGAGGAATGAGTCCTCATTTTGAGACGACCTGTAGGTCAGGTTTCAAACGGAACCATTTTAAGATTTAAAAATAAGAGTTCATCCTGCAGATAGACTAAGTCACCTCTTCACCTGGTGTCAGTTAAGCATTACCTGAATGGAATCAGTCGACTGAGAGAGCTGGAGGGCTCTCCCTTCACCTTTCACTCACCTTCATCAGTCAGGAGAAGAAAAGGGAAGGACAGTTGTATACACCAGTCGTTTATGCAATTCACTTCACCTGTATTTTTATTTTGGAAACACTGAGCAGTAAGCAATGAAAAACTATCAGTAATGAAAATCTATCCTAAACTAGAGCTGGGCAAATAACCTTTCTAATGGTTTAGACCCCGTATCTCAGCATCAAAAGCTCACAGGCTGAAATGCCCTTCAGTCTAACTGATGTTTTAAATTATTTTAATGACTGCCATTTCACGTTTTAACTCCTTGGACCAATTTCAATTGTTCTGAATTTCAGCTTCACCATTCAATTATCACATGAGCCACATAAAACTCTTCTAGTTTCCTGCTCTGATGGGATCTGCACATTTGCAATGCTGCTTCCCAGTGCACTTGTTTATGAGGCTTCGAAGCCCCCTCTGCCAGTAAAACCCAATTATTTGATTGTTCCAAGAAAACAAACACTAAGAGGACATAAAAAGATCAAGCTGAGTTTATTTAAGATTTGGACAAATATCCGTGGAATGCTCCTGGCATTATTTGCCCAGCTCTTTTTAACACTGTGGTGATGCGGCATTTTTGATAGCGTGTGGCCTAAGCTAACCAGGCTCACTCAGCATCTTCCTCCAGGACGGGGTCACAGACAGGTTGTACAACCCAAGTGTGTTGCACCCACTCACTCACTGTAAACTCAGACCCTGCAAAACTTCCTGGAGAGTGAAGAATTGAAGGAGAACATTCTTCAAAGCATTACAGTGTGCAATTTCAATGCAAGGCATAATGGAAGTAGCTGTGTGGGAGGGTATTACTTCATTATAAACCTAAATCAGGTGCCCAAAGATTTCTGTCATCTCCAGAGCCTGTTCCATCAGGCTCTACAAGAGGTTTTCCAGTGGAAGAAAAATAGCCCTCCCTCCCTTCAGGCTTGAGAAAGTTGTACAGCTTTTTTAACAGTTTCTAAAATCCCATATTATTGCTTCTCCCCTGGGAGACTTCAAAAGTCACGCAAACTTCACAGAGCCCACATGTTCATAAACCTCAAGCAAAAGACCAGCAAGGAAATAAACTGCAGTTCTCCAATTAGCATTTGACATTCTCTACTGTTTTTTTGGTGGGGTGTATTTGTCTTTCTCCTAAACCACGCTGATAAATAAAATGAGTTATTAAACCTGGCATTATTTCATATTTTAAGGCACACTGAAATCAAACACTCCAATTCACAGTGGGACTTGCTTTCTGCATAATATTTGGGGGAAATAGGAAAAAACCCAGCAGTTTCAAACATGTTAAAAGGGCTAATACGTACATCAATATTTTCTTCAAGCTCCTTATTGTGTATTCACAGCTACTGCCAAACACAACAACAGAGATGGGGCATTAGGATATGAAATGGGAAGTTGTCAGATTTTCAAAGCGAGCTTCTGGGTGCTGAACACTTCTCTGGCCCCTGACTCTTTGGTGCCATTCCAGAAAGAAATATCTCTGTGCTGGCAGTTGGCCAGCCAGCCTTGGAAATCCTTCTCCACAGTTATTTCAGTAAAGCATAAAAGCCGATCCCCAGCTTTCTCTGCCTGATTAAGCACTGTCACCAATCACTATGCAGCTCTAAGGTACGCATGAAATATTCCTAGATAAATCCTCCATCTCCAGAGAAATGTGTTTCCTGCGCAACTGTAAATCCAGGTTCTGTGTTGAAACTAATCCAGTCTGGCAGTGCTATGTCCCTAGAAAAGTTTTCTTTTCCTTGGAAATGACAAACTTATGCAATGGCAAAGTCATCCAATCTTTTCATGCCACTATATTATATTAAAAACACCTGGTTTATTTATACAAAGACTTACAGATCAGGGTCCTAGAAATAATAATACATAAACTTTATAGCAAAAAATATACATATAATAATTCGTCCTTCTATGATATATAGAAATGATGTATATTTGTGTGAGACATTTATATAAATATATGGGTTGTACTTATGTTTAGGGCACTTGTGTATAGATATGTGTATCTACATACACACATTTATATATCTTTCTAGGTGCCATGTGTGTATACATAAACACACATAAATACACACACAGGAGCATATTTACACTCTGTGAGTAGACGTGTACTTTGCAGAATCTGCACACAAACAGCCGCAGTCCTTCACTGGCTGTGAGCATCAGAGGGGTCAGCGACACCCACGCTAGTGTCCGCAGAAAGAGAACTAATGTCATCGCTGTGGGCACAGGACTGGCTTGATGCATCTTCCTTTGTGAAGAACTAGATTTGCTGGACAGTGGCACCCGGCAATGCAGGGCTTGTTGCATGGGCCAATCTCGTTCCAGTTGTCACATGTTTTGACACATCCTGGACCACAGGTATCATAAACTGCACCGTGTTTACACTGGGTTGCTGAAAGGCAGTTAAAAGGAAAAAAATGTGTGTCAATGTATATCTTTACACACAGTCCCACAATCTGTTTGCTTGGTTCCTACTGCAAATATCAAAAAGCACATTTTGGTATGGCCATCATCTAGACGAAAAAAATTACTTGTGAAGAGATTCCATTATATTAAATGCAACACTACTTTACATCACAAATAAAAAGGTAGCAAAATTCCTAATCAAAAAGGTATCAAGTTCCCAGTGCACTTGAACTTTTTGAGAATTTTAACACAGCTGACGGTATATAAAGCTTTGGCAAGGTTTCTATTTATAAGCAGATCTATGGCTTATATTTAAGGCTTAGCATTTTTTGTTTATTTGTTACAATGTCTTTTCTCAAAGATTCCTGAAACATTTACAAGGACAGACAGTTATTATCAGTCCCACTCCTATAGAAAGAAGAGAAAAAAGAGTCATTCATCATGTCAGACTTTCTGTTCCTAAGATTATACTTTCAATATTGCATATTGCAGCAAATCAAAACAATTATGTTAATTCATCAGCACCGTTTCTAAAACAAAACAAAATTTTAAATAAATTATTTCCATGCTTTATTCTATTTTACTAAGGGAACACTAAGAATGAGTATTCTTGTCCTTAATGATTCCAGTATCTATTCATTGATTTATGTACTTGACAGTTCAATGCATTTCCAACATAAGAGACCACTGCGGGCTCAGCTAAAAGCACTATACCCCCTCCAGATCAATATTTAAACTCTTCACATTTTATATCCTGCCTTTTTACTATGGAGAATAATAATACATGGTTCAATATCGAATAAAAGCCTGTTACTCTTTTAACGGCTCTGCTGATGGCAAAAACAAGTACTGATAAAATAGTTTATAGATGGTAAGGGACTCTCAAGCATCCAGAATCATCTCTTGCTATTTACAGATAGGTGGTTGCATTAAGAATGTTTCTTCCCTTTTGAGAGATGCTGAACGTTCAGATTTTTTAAAGAACAGTTCTGTTATGGACAGAAAAATGGTGTTTTGTTGTTAGAACTGTCCTTAGAGTGCCATGACAGTACTGTTATTATTCATAAAGAGAAAATAGGCAGAAATAAATTTATTAAATATGTATAAGAGTGTATCACAGAGGATGGAAGTCTTAGTGCTAAGGCATTATATATTTAAGGGGTTCCTCTTCACCAGTAACAGTGATCTTCAAAACAGCATCAGCTTCTTGCAAGTTTTATTTCTTATATGTTTTATGGCATTTATACATATGTGAAAAGCAGCCCTGAAGAAGGAATTCTGGCAAGAATGCATACAGAGTTCTCAGAGCACAGATATTAAACAAAAAATTGGAAAAATTGGATAGTACAGCAGAAAATTACCCTGGAGTTACAGAGAATCAACAGCTGAACAATAGATAGATATTAGGTAGATATTAGGGGGAAAAAAGCTTTCTAGCTTTAAGCATGAGAAAGCACCAGTGCAAGCTACCTAAAGACTCCGTGAGACAACTTTTATAGAACATTGTTTTAGAACAGGTTGGAAAAAACATCTTTCAGCGATGTTCAAGATAGGCTTATTCTTCGTCTGGGCATAGATGCTTTGAGAACTTTTTTCCAGCTTTACATTTCCATCTTGCTCTGCATGATAACTTTCATGCACATTGAAGAAGGAACAAACAAAAGGAACAACTAAAACGAAATTTAACGAAGCAGGAAATTTAGTAGGTGGGAAAAACATGCAAAAGTGTGCAGTAAAATGTTAGACTCACCACAAACTCTGCACTTCTGCAGTGTGTTAAGAATAGAGATTGAATCTCTATAAGAGGGGAGAGGAAAATGTGCAGAGCTCCCAGGACTTTTGCAAACAATGTATTAACTGTCTAAAAAAATAAACCAAGATATCCAAAACCAGATAGTGATTATCTACACGCAATGTGAATTATCTTAAGGGGATTGTTTACTAGAAGCTTTTGTCCCTCCTCTCTGAAAATGAGTTTTTCTTCAAAGGATCTCTAATTGGCCAACCACAGACTGAAACATTAGACTTCAGTACATGCAGTTTCCATACAGAAAATTCTGTGAGCTTCAGTTTATAGGCTGCACAGGTTTCATCCCACAAAGCTTTACTGCAGTAATAGCCGGTCTGTTTGTTCCACCTGAGCTTTGTTTGGTGCCTCAGCCGGTAGGTTCGAGGGAAGTTCCTCATCTCTGCCCCAGAGTAAATCAGGATATATTACAGGCTGCCCTTGGCAGCCATGGCATCTGTAAGTATTCCCCAGCTCTGCTCTGTCACACATGGATGTCAAAACACCTCCTTCTCCTTCAGATGATGCCATGTGCAAGATATGATGACTTCATTGTCTACTGTAGGCAGTCTACAATGGCATTATTAACTTGCTGTCAAGGGAAAAGTCAGAAAAGTACTATGGCTGCTAAGTTCCCTGGATGGCTTTTATTGTTGAATGCTTCAGTTGTTAACATGTGGTGTGATTGATTCAGAACATTCCACTTCATCAACAGTTTAAAAAATAAAGGCATTCTGCAGTAGGCTTCCCAGGGATTGCTGAAACGAATCAGTACCATGTAAACATGGAAAACAGAAGTGATGCCTTCTCTTCAAGAACTGAGCTCTGGTAGTAATAACTTCCTTAGTGCACTAGCGAAAAAAATCAAAAACCCAACCTCAAAGTACAAAAGTTACTAATAATACTGCATTTTGCAACATTACCAGTCCCAACAGGATTTTTCCACTCTTCTTCTAGAACATGTGTTTGGCATGACAGACATGAGCTTCCTCAGACCACTTTCTGAGCTGGCGGGATGATAGCCAGCTCCAGTCCAGAAGCCATATAGTCACATAAATACAGCACTGTGCCTGAGCTAATAAACCCTGCCTAATAAGGCTATACAGTTTTCAGACCAGACCTGGTTTATTCCAGCCAGTTTGGCAGTTTCACTGAGAAGGCTTGTATCTGTCTGTGCCTGTCTCTGTAGACATGGCTGTAATTATTTAGGAGGAATTCTTGTTCCCCAACACAGAAGCCAAAATACCTAACATGGAACTGCTGAAGGATTCCCTTGGTGGACGATCTCTGGTAAATCTGATTCCACAGAAATTTCTTAGCTAATATTTTTGCATCAGTGAATGATCCTGCTTCTTCTGGTGATGTTGCACAGTTTGGGCTTTCCTGGTCTTTTGTAGCACTTTCAAACTGAATGCCACTCATGGTCCTTGCAATTCACAACGTCTCCTTCTAACATAATAGAAGGCAATAGATCTGGGCACTGACCTTCTCATGATACACTTGTGTTAATCTTTTCAACTTTCAGTTTTCCATGGGTTTCCACAGAAAAGTCAGAATAGCCTTCTGATAACTATTCACATGGAATAAAGAGATTAAAGGAAAGAAACATCTATCAGGGAAAAGGAGTGACTTTGGCCAGAAAATTCTACAGCAGAGAAGAGGGAACCCAGGAGAGAAGAGTGAAAATCAGATATACACTCATCCTCCTCTAGTCCAACCGAACACACAGGAAAAAGAGAAAATAGTTCCGTTTTTATGAGGCTGTTGGAGCATGTCAGCACATCAATGCTATCATGTGCACTTTGCACTTTTTCATAGTCCATATCGGCTGCTTCTTCTTCTTGCCTGTGTGGTCATGCCCATGGCAAGGAGTTATTGCCATCTGCTATCCTTGAGTCCTCTTTCTCTCAGTGCCCTCAGAAATTCAATGTTAAACTACTATGGCCCAAGGCCTTTCACCACTTCAGTTTACTTACTTGCACTTCATAGCCTTTCTTGGGCTAAAAAAAAAGTCTTTTGTCTATCTCCTTTCCATTTCAAACCTCTTCCTTCCATTTGTAGCCTTTCTTTTCTCTCTCACATGTATCACTTTCTCTTATTTCTTCTTTTCTTCACATCGGCTCTCCTCGTTTTTTAATTCTTCACACATCATATTTCTTCCTGTGCCCATGCTAACAGGTGTGACTCCCCGCTACTTCCCATGCAAACTCCTATTCCTTTCAAAACCCTCTCAGTTCCCATGCAGATCTCACCAACCCTTTCCTACCCTAACCATTTTCCTTACTTATTAGTTTCTTCTCTTCACCCTTCTGGTTAAATGACAGCTGACCCAACCTTACTGAGCCAAACTTAAAGGATAGCAAACCTTGAGCAGCAGTATTTCATGGAGGACTTAGAGGAGGATTCAGTGCCACCCTGGGGGAGGAGGAAGAGTACTTAGGAAACACGACATGTAATTCAGCCCCCTCAGCATCCTGTTTGGCTGGCCCTCCAGACAACACAAGCTTTCTAAAGATTATAAAAATGAGCTAAGCATACAACAGTCAGGGTAGAGGAACTGGCAGCCACGCAAGATCTGGTTTTATAACACACAAAAGAATAATTAAAACCTGACTTTGCTAATAAGCATATACCATTTTCATCAGAACACAGCTCTTCCAAGTATCCCACCAGCTATGAAATGTCAAGCAGGAAATGAAAGTCACAGAACGCTAAAGTTTTATTACGGATATACTGTTTCATACCCAGGAATTTTTATCTGTAATTATCTGTAATTAGGACACACTAATTGTAACTACAAGTTTTGGGAAGAAAAAGGTAACTTAAAGATTAAAATCTTGATGCTGGCCACTGGTAACATATGAAATGGATACACTTTAATGCTTACCGTACAATTTACTGTAGAAGATGGTGCTACTTGTTTGACACCAGATGTCTAAGTAAGTGTTTTGAGGGTACTTGATCATATACAGTTTGTCTATGTTTTCTGCTTAAAAAGATTTCCCCTTTCCCTCTAGAAGTCTGCACTGAGATTAAAAAACTCAGGTGGATTTAAACACTTTTTCCATTAGCTTTAATGGAAGGTGTGTGTTTAAATTCCTTCATAATGTTTTCTCACGGACTGTTTTTTGCCTTAGAAACTTTTTTTGTCTTTGGTAAAATGCCAGAAAAAAATGTGCAAAGAAGCCTCAACTAGTTAAGTCATGATATGTCAACACTTGTATAAACTCCTTAAGGCAGGGACTGGAGTTTTTATTCTTTTTACAGCATCTGCCACAGTGAGGTCTTGGTCTGAAGTGCTTTGATGAAAACAAAAAAAAAGTCACAATGCTTATTTCAGGTTCTGCATGGATCTGCTACCAGACCAATAGATTAAAATTACATATGTTATTAGTGCTGTCTGAGACCACATCCTTGAGTAGGGCTTTCACTTCATGACACCCTGTTTGGATTGTTCTATTCCTTTGTAAGAAAAAAATGAGTCTTTCAGGAACAGTCAATCAAACGCAATTTGCTCTGTCACTCACCCATCCCTGCTATCGTGCCTTCAACAGAAAAGGAAACTGAAGTTGAGAGAGTAGACCCTGAGCCACACAGAATCACCAAAATAGACCACAGAGTAATAGCTCTTTGACCAGCACTGAGTATCCTTCTCTCATTTTTTTTTTCCAGCTACTGTCAATTGCGTTACATAAATCTGAATACACTTCCAGGCAAACCAATGCCATTATAGAATGTTCTAAATTAATGAGACCATCACCAGGGGAGATAGTCATCTGCAATATTGCATTTTACTTCAAGTGCACATGACCACAGGCCACCACTTCTTATTGAAACGATTACTCACAATTACTTGCAATTAATGTAGTCCTAATCACACAGGGAATATGGTCCAAGTACCAAAATTAACACAGGTTTGCATTTTAATGTTCTTATTAAACACATTCTCTCTTCTTCCCTTGTTGAACCTACTGCAGTCATATAGGCACGTTGTTTCTGGAAACATAACTATGCTTTAACTGGAGATCAAAAGAGTTTAAACATTATCTGTAATCAACTGTTTACATATCCTGAAAGAAAAAGGCATGTACTTTTTCCCGGAAATACATCAAACTAAGACAGGTCGCATTAGAGGTGAAAAGTTTTGCAGACAAATAAACATTTATGATATTTGATAGTTGAAAATCTTTCCTGGTAAGGTCTTTTTCCAGAACTCAGAATGCAACTTCCCTGCTGATGCAATCCCAGTCTTTTCTAGCTGGTTCATTTCTGATCCTTCTCCACTAGTAAAAGGATAGTAGCCTGTTAGCCTATGCACTGGCTTACAAAGTAGCAGTCCCAAAATGCTTACCTGCACAGTTCTGCGCCGGTATCCACTGAACTTTCAACCCTTCCCTCTGGCAGGCTCGGGCGTATGCCAGGAATGACTCGCAGTAGCAGTTTTTATGGACTGGGCACTCGCACATGTCTGTCACGCAGGACCTGCAGAACAAAGCCCCAGAACAAATCAGCAAGGAAAGCTTTGGCAGATATCTGTCCAAGGTTTGGAGTTGTTTACTTTCCAGTCACGTGGAGTTCACTGCCACAGCAACTTGTGTTAAACAGCAAGAAAGTTAAATGCATCTCTGTTGCCACATCCCAAGGGCTTATCTCTTTTTTTGGTGTGCCGCTTTGATGCAGAGAACTCTCAAGAGCGTCAGGGAGAGAACCTCGCAGGAACAGGAAGGTGAGAAGAAGACCCAAGAAACATCAGGCAGAGAGAACCAAGACCACAGTGGGAGAATGCAAAATCCATTTTTGCAATGATTTTTTGTGAACACAAGATAAAGACTTATTTCTTATTCCCTGGGAAGTAATGATTTAATAATTGTACTAACTGTAATAATTGTGTTAAGCGGGTAACTTCTGCAGGTCATGAGCACACACCCTTCCATGCAAGGGATGAGAAATGGTGCCTTCTCTCCAGGTTACCTCCAGCCTCTCCCCACTTTGAAGGCCCCAAATCAGCTATATGCCTGTTTTCTCCGCAGCATCACCACTAAATGCCAGACTTTAAGAGACTCCAAAGGAGCAGGGGCGATGCAGCATAACTGAGCAGTTCTCATGCTAGGAAATCCCCCAGGCACTTGTTGATAACACCATCTTCTTCCATTGCATAAGACGGAATCACCACAAAACATGGCAAAGCGCAAAGCTGCTAACGTGGCCCTAAGTGAAACTGCTACTGCTTATGTCACCACTTTTTTTCAAGTTAGCTCATCCAGAACATGTGCCCATTTGGCACAGATCTAAAATATAACTGGCAAGAGCCGGCGGATTTGCAGTCAGCAGCTTCTGCATAAGCAAAATGCTTAGACACTTCTGCAAACATAGCAATGCAAATTCAGAAATGCTGAGTATCTGCTACTCCAAGAGTAGTCGTTAGAAGGCAGGCACAAGGTGCGGGGAAGACATATCCCTCTGGAAATCATGCCCTCAGTTCCTCTGCTTTGCATGGAGAGCGCTCTGTGCATGCACCGTGGGTGTCAATGGGCAAGAGCCCCGTGCTCCATGCATGTTCAGCGACTTTGTTCCTGAGAGGACAATGCAATGTTTGAGAGGCACAAATCCTCCAGACAGACCAAGGGCTGAAGTAAAAAACAAGCTCTCCATGTTAATTGCTCTTACTGTGGACAAAAAATTCAATTGTCTATATGAAAAGGATGGATATAGGCTTAATTTTCCAGAAACTTTCCCCATAGCTGAACAGGTAATAGCTTGGAAAAGCTGCAAGCACCTGTCAAAGTAATCAGGAGCCCTAATCCCCATACAATGCTTTAGAGTCACTGGGAACCCTTTATTCAAAACCAGGAGAGAGGATCTGTGGTCCTTCGAACACAGACAAGCTTGTTTCTCCATATCCAACCGTGCCCCTTAAAGAAGAGCACTTGCCCTTGCCAAAGTCACTGGCTATTTCAGTGACCGTTCATATGGTTAAGCCTGACACTTCTGCTTGACATTTCTGCGAGCTTTTAATCATTTTACTCTCAGAGGACCCCCAACATGAAATTACCTAAAAATTCACTGTGACAAATACGCAACAGAAGTGCTAATGTAAAAAGGTTACCTGTCCTGCATTTACCAATAAATACATACTGTGGATAAACAGAATTGCTTTAGATCAAATAGAACATGTTCGTATTTATAGGCCAGTGGTTTTCATTTGAAATAACTTCACTTTCTAGGGACAATCTCATTTTATTTCATTTTAGTTTTGTGGTAGGTCCATTTACATCTCTCCCAGTAACAGATGTTGCTGTATGGGTATCACAGCCGACAGGCTGCAAGGAACAGATTAGCACAACATCCTTGGCATTGTTTGACATTGTTAGCTGATAAAAGACCTTGTATAAGCACAAAGGGTCACCTATTTATGTGACGCACTAAATAACGTCACACTGTTCCCTTTGGCCACACCATGCTTGTGATCTCTTGCTAGCATCCCTGCAGCAGGCACTGCTCCATTTGGGAGGTGTATGTCTCATTTTACAGTGAAGTAGCTGCTTGTTTGCTACTGCAGCAGATTATTATCACACAGAGAGCATGAAATAATTTCCACAGATAGAGTCCATTGTCAAGATAACCATTTCGCCATCTTTTTGTTTCTGTGCCAGCCTCCTTTATTACCCACATTTCACTGCTCTCCACTCCGATTTAGCTATGATTAATGCCCCTGTTGTTCAGGGATGCTTGCCACTGCTAGGCTGGTTACGTGCTTACAAATTTCCTGCCCTAGAAATTATAAAATCCTAAACCTGAGGTACTTCCTCTGCTTTTTAGAGTATAAATACATTTTTTTTTACCATCACTCAGAGAATGCCACCTCCTGCACTGGGTCAACACACCTACAGCTATCTCAGGTGCTTGCATCAGGTCAGGAAATCTCCAGACTCACCATCAGTCACCCAGACTTTATAATCATTCACATTCACATGTCTGTGGCAAGGCTAGCACTCACCCTGACAAAGCCTGGGCGTGGGCTGGGGGTTTGTCCATTCCCAGTCTGCAGGAGGGCAGCCATGCTCTTTGAGGGTGCAGAGAGTTTAGCCCCTACATGCACGTGAATGACACGATGCCGTTAGCCCTTGGCATTGAAACGGTCGTGGACATCCAGAGTCCAGAGTGAAACATCTCCACTTTGGCTGGTATCAGCACTCTTTGCTGCTGTGTTCAGCACAGGAGTCCACTAAGGAAGGTGGCATGCCACGTGCAACACAAGCAATCCTCTGATTCATTAGACGCCTAATTGCTTGCGTAATTTTTATTTTCCTGAACTTTATAAACCTGGTGACAGCTGCTGGGCTCAAGCCCTGGGCTTGGCTGAGGAGCAATCATCAGTTTGCAATGGTTTTATTAATGAATTACAATTGCTAATTATTTGTAAGGTTAAATTAATTAACTGATTAATGTTAAATGAAAAATGAGAGTAAAGGAAACTATATCCACAGCTTCCAAGCCTAGTCACTCAAAATCAAACCTTCATTTTCCAAATGAAATTCCTTGCTGGCAAGTTTAATGCATTAATCTTAATCGTAGTTAGATGGACTGGCAGTCAGGGGAGAGGGCTCTCTTCTGAAGATCTCTTCTGAAATCAGCATGGAGCAGGTACGTGGTTTGTTTGATAGCCACCACAGGAGTGAAAGGGCAGCTCTGGGAAAGGATGTGGAAGCAAAAGGTGTCCATCCTTTGGGTGCTGGCTAGTGAGGGGCAGCTGGTGATAGCTCGACAGCAAGCTTTGACTTTGGGTCTGTACTTTTTTGAAAACATGTTTACTTCTTGCATTTAATTACATTTCTCACAGTTACTGCTGTTACAGTTATATTAAAGGGCTATTAGGGGATGCTTCATCTGGCAAATTTAAAAATTGATTCTTGTTGCTGTCCTAATCCTTTCTGCTTGCAAAAATCTTTGGTATGCCCACAGCTTTTTTTTTTTTACCCTCTCCAGCGATTGATACATTTCAAAAATTATTCTCTGCTACCCCAGATTCTGCCTCCTATTCATTCCTCCGTTAAATCGGATAAATAGATTCAGTGACACTAAGTACAAGTATGCAGAGGCTTATCTGTACTCTAATCTGACTGGACTGTTCAAACAACAGAAAAATACACTTTTAGAAAAACTTAGGAATTATGCCAGTAATGAAGCTGTACTAACAAGTTACCATACAGCACACAAACGGAGACTTTGGGTCTGCCAAGGTATTGTGACTCTTTACCAAGACCAAAACGCTTGTTTAAATGAATTAAAATTGAGCATACATATCGGAAGCTTTAACATCAAAACATTACAGTCATATAGAAATAATCCCACAAGAAGACTACAGTGCAAGTTACTTACAAAATGAAGCAATTTTTTTTTGCTGTGATGCTGCACTTTGTCTGGAGCCCTGCTCCAAACAAGCATGGGAACACAGCCAGCCTCTGTCCTCAACTGGTACCATGTGCCTCACTGAGATTCCTTTTGATGCTGCCCATGCTGCCTGCAGGGTGTGTGTCTGTGATGGCGCTAATTGGGTGTGTGTAATCACAAACTGTTGCAAGGGGAAATCCATGAAAGTGAAGGCATCCAGCAGCTGTGGGACACGCCCTTGAAGGAGACAAGCACACACACACACACACACACACACACACACACACTCTGCTGCCACATCTTCAAAGCGAGCTGGATGCGCACATTCCTTCAGCAACAGCCCTTTTTCACATTAAACCATGGAAGGTCTCCAAGTCCCACAAAGGGTAGAGAACTGAGCCCTGCGCTACATGCACTATTAAAAAGAAGAGGAAAAGATCACAGCAACGAAGCCTACAGCCTTAGTCTGTGCCACACGTCATTGAAATTGCAGATGTTCACTTGCTGAGCATCAGCAGTTCCTTTTCCTTTGCAGTAGACACAAATCCAAAACCAGAACCAGCCATTTTAGGAAGGACTATTTCTTTTTGCCCTTTCCCCCCCCCATATTTCACCACAGGAGTGTGATGCAGTGCATTTTTCAAACCTTTCGGTACCTTCAAGAAGTAACACAGACAGAAAACACTAACATCCTCCTCTTTCCACAGTAGGTCTCAACAGATTTTACACAAGCAATCAGAGATCGTGCATGACTACATAGATTTTATGTATGTGAAGAGGCATCAGGTGCTGAAGGGGTTTGTTCTCTCTACCGGGGATAAGCTGTACACTTGCAAACTACAAAGCCTGAAGGGTCATCTGCCTAGAGAGGATTAATTTCCAGCCCCACCATCCTGTGAGACAGACTTCTTGGGATAACTTCCTATTGGGTACGCCAAATCAGAGTTTTACTACAAGCTTGGCCTAATTTAGCACTGGTTATGAAAACAGCCATGCTCTACACAACAGCCAGTTTGGATTCCCATAATCACATCGGAGTGCTCACAATTCAGCAACAACACTCAGGATTCATTTTTGCTGATCCAACATTA